CTATTTTTTTTTTGGTTGCAGCCATCATTGTTGTTTGGCAGGCCTGGGCTGGATTCAAACCTGCCAGCTCAGGTGTACATGGCTGGCGCCTTAGCCGCTTGAGCCACAGGCACCGATCCTTATCAGGAATTCTAATCGGCACTGATGAACTGTTCACTAATAAAAACACTTCATTTAGTGGGAAAAAAAATCCTTTCAAAATATGAGGTTGCCAAGGAAAAAATATTTTTAGGGACATAACTGCCTCAACAATCACTGGTTTGTTACATCAAAGGAATTTAGCCTACTTGCATGTACATTGTATACGACCAAATCTAAAGGCAAAATTTTAGATTTATTTTACATTGGCACTATCCTCTTTCCCACTTCCAATACTCAGTCTTCGATAAGCTTTACATAAAGCCCGCCAATATAGGGCGGCACCTGTGGCTCAAAGGAGTAAGGGCGCCAGCCCCATATGGTGGAGGTGGTGGTTCAAATCCAGCCCTGGCCAAAAACTGCCAAAAAGAAGTCCACCAATATTATAAAACATTGACTGAGTCTCCTGAAAGAGTAAGAGATGCAGATAGAGTTGAATGTATTAGTTAACAAGAGGAAGTCATCTCAGTTGAAGGACTAGTCTGATGTAATAGAAAGTTTGCCCAAGCAAACAAACATTTGAAACAAAGGTAGTATTGCTTCTTTTTTTTTTTTTCTTTTTTTGGTGAACAAACTATCCACAGTATGGACTGCTTGTGCGGAGAAGGACAATGAAGTTTGGGAAATAATGCCTAAGAAACATTAAGGAAAAACAGGCAAGTTGTAGGGTGAAATGTATAATTGATCCTATTTGGCTAAAAAGAAAATAAAATGTGTAGGGCCTGTGGCTCAGTGAGTAGGGCGCCGGCCCCCTATACCAAGGGTGATGGGTTCAAACGTGGCCCTCGAACTGCAACCAAAAAAAAATAGCCAGGCTTTGTGGCGAGCACCTGTAGTCCCAACTATTCAGGAGGCTGAGGCAAGAGAATCTCTTAAGCCCAAGAGTTGGAGGTTGCTGTGAGCTGTGTGATGCCATGGCACTCTACTGAGGGTGATAAAGTGAGACTCTAACTCCACAAAAAAAAAAAAGAAAGAAAATAAAATGTGTATATATTGTGGTATGTATATTGACAGTTGTGTTCATATATGCATAAGCAAGTCTGGAAGCATACACACCAAAGGAGAATTATAGTTAAAGTAGGGAATTATGGTTAAATTCAGTAACATGAATTTTAAAGGATTTATCACCTTTGTAATTAAACCAAACCCAAAACAACCACTTAATTTTTAAAAAGCAGTGGAAGCAATGTCCTCAGCATCCATATTCTTCTCAAGGATTGAAAAAGCTGATAGCTGAAATGGGTGGGTTCGCGTGCACAGAAGGGTGCGAGTGCTGCAGCTCACCCTCCCTGGGAGCAGCTGAGTTGTGTGCAGCTTGTGCTGACAGTGACCGTAGGGCTTTGCTCTGCTCTAATAAACCATAGTTCTGTTTGCTGCCTCCCTGGAAACTGGGCAGAAGAAACCTGTGCTGGGTAAATCTCAATGAAAATCAAGCTGGGGGTGGGGGAGGAGGGGATGGGTAACTTGACCCCTTTTGGGGTACAGTACCCTATTCGGGGTAAAAGGCACACTACTTTGACTCAATCTGTATAAAAACTATGTAAATGAAATGTCTATCCACTAATATCCCAAAATAAAAACAAAATTAAAAATAAGAAACCAATGCTGAATACATAAAAGCTGATGCCAGTGAGAGGGTATCCGCCATCCCCAGGATCCCTCTGGTATTGTCAAAGAGGCTGCACCAGAGTCGCATCCCTGCAGTTTCACCCTGTCCGGTGTGGCTCCTGGGTAATGGTTCCATGTCCAGCATTCTGTTCTGCCACCTCTGCTCTACCCAGTGTCTCAGCCTTGCCCCGCAGTCGTGTTCTCCCTCCGGGCTTGTCTCTGCATTCCTATCTTGGGCAGGATGTCCTGATAACCTCATCTCTCACTGCCCTGCTCCTCGGGTTTTTGCCGTCTTACGTGGGCTTCAGAGGACTGGGTTCTCTGTTTTAGCCCCCTTTACCGAGAACACCATGAAATGAGAATGTACAGTATGTACCTTTTGGGGTTCTTAGATCATAATCTCTGGAAGGACATTCTGTTGACAAAGCATATGTGTTCACTATGGCATCTTAATGCACTGCTGAGCCAGGTGGCACAAGTATCACATCTGTGAACTAAAAATAAAATCCTAAGCCTCTTGCTAACTGAGTAAGACCCTTCTTGGCCAAGGAACCCCCAGAAAAAAAGCCTTAAAAACTGAGCTGCCAGCCATGACTGGATGGGAGCTGGGAAGCACTATTACAGAGGTGCGTTTTCTCCTCACGACTCCTTACCTTGTTAAATAGGTTTATTTAGTCTCCCTATTCAGCATAAAATCCTGTTTCCTTTTGTCTCTCTCTTGAAACGTGTTCCTGGCTTATGGCCAGAGTAGTGTTTCCCAGCTTATCAGAATAGCCACTGCAAGTTGAGACCCCTGCCCAGAAATAAGTTCTCCTTTTTAAAAAAAATTTATAAACCTTACAGCTTTTAAAAATTAACACATTCTGGGGCAGCACCTGTGGCTTAGTGAGTAGGCGCTGGTCCCATATACCAAGGGTGGCGGGTTCAAACCCAGCCCCATCCAAACTGCAACAACAACAAAAATAGCTAAAAATTAACACACTCTTGTTTCAGCCCTTCCTAGAAACAGAAAGGACTACTAAATTACAATTAATATTCTGGAAGCACAAATTCCAGGTTAGTCATTTAGCAACAGTATGGACGGTGCTAATAAGGTGATGGTTTTCTGAATTGCTAAAGAATGTTTACTTTGGGTGGCGCCTATGGCTCAAAGGAGTAGGCCACCAGCCCCATTTGCCAGAGAGGTTCAAACCCAGCCCTGGCCAAAAACCACAAAAAAAAAGTTTACTGTTAGAACCCATGTGATGAGCTGCATTGTCATTTGAAACACATGCCCAGGGTTGTGGGGTTGTGGTCGAGGGTGTCATGCTGAGCCCTGACTACAGACATCTCCTAGAGCCACTGAGCTCTTGACAGGAGTGGGCTCACACACGAAGAACCAGGGGCTTTTTTCAGGTTTTTTTATTCATTCTTTAAAACATTCCCTCCCCTCCTCCCCCCCCCGTCAGAAACGCAACAGCTTAACATTTATACTGCCCAATCTATGATTTATTTTCTCTTTTTGAAAAATACACAAAAACCTTAGGCTGTGGTGTCAAAAACTTTCCATAGGAATGTTGATGATGGGGGATGGTATTTAAAAGTGCAAAGTAAACCCTTTTTTCTAAGAAATGGAAAGCTGCAGGAATAACCTTTCCTGTGATCTTTGAAGGAGCAATTTAGTTGACATCTGAGTTTGCTATGGAGGCTCCTCACTCAGTATTCTCTTCCATCTCCTTTTATGATGAAGGCCACCAGGCCTGACTTCTGACAAGCTGAAGAGCAGAGTTCTAAAAAGCAGGTAGTGTGAAAGAGGATAGACTTGCGCCAGCCAGTTTCTACGAGTGGGTTTTGCAGATTATCCTAAATTCCCTTGTTTCTCAGGAATTCCTCACCCTGTTTCTTCATGGCACTGGAAACTGTCCTGACAGGGGCCTGGTTCCTCTGACTGCAGCTGACGGATAGCGTACAAGAGTGTGTGTTTACAGGTGTGTGCAGGAGGTAGCGTGAGGGTGGGTGGCTTCCATGAGCCAGGTTTAAGAGCTATATGTAACCCTCTTCTCTCTTGCCTCTGAATCAAGTGGTGCCTTCGGAGCTATTCTCTGCATCACTGATAGTTCCTGCCTCAATATTCCACAAGATCTCTCCCTGTAGCTTTGGGCTCACTGGTTAGGGAAAGGCCTAACTTCTCCAGGCACCTCCTTTACCTGTCACATGGGAAATAGAAAAGACATGAACACTGGGGACCGGACAGGAGGGAGAAGAGAAAGGAATGTTCTAACACTTTTTCACCTTTGCCTGGGTGAATTTGCAGCTGAGGACTGGAAACGCATCATAATGGGGATGGTACCTTGGGTCTGTAGCTATGATTATTGGAGTGAGAGAAGAGAATGGGAAATAAATTCATGCCTGCTTTAAGAGCTTGCCAAACGGCAGCTGTGACGGAGAAACTTTCAGGTGAACATAGTGACCAACAACCTGGGAGAATAAGGGCCAAGGACAGCTGTAGTCCAACCCCCAATCTCACTTGGAGCCCAATTTCTAATTTTTAGTACTTTCCAATACAGCTTTCCAGATCCTTGAAGAATTCTTAAGGATGCTGAAGTGGCTCAGAGAGCTCCATGCATACTGTAGGCTTTTCTTGATCCCTTGACTGTAAGGCAGGTAAGGGCCAAGTGTTCCTCAGCCCAGGCAGGAGACACGAAGTACTAGTGACTGAGAGGGACAGATCCGAGGCTCAAGATCACTGATTTTCCAGCTTGTCAGGAGGCCAGAGACTGCCTGTAGCAGAGATGAGCTGTTATTTTCCTCACACTAGCCTAAGTTTGGGCCATGGGAGAGAAATTCCAACTGATGCTGGACATTCCTTGTGGCCAAAGCTGTTCCCTTGGGAGTATATTGAGTCCCTTTCCCTGAAGCTCCAAGCCATGGGGACTCACCCCTGAGCAACTCACTACAACACAGAATAGCATCCCCCACCCCTGAGTCTCCTTCTGCCTCTCCTAAGGCAGGAGATTGTCTAAAAGCCTCTGGTTTCCCGGCAATAGGTTCTACAGCAGTGTAGGCGACTATGAGGGGGTTGACAGAGCAGATGAGCACAAAGGCACAGACAGCGTGTTCCAGTACTGGCCATACATCAGTGTGGAGATGCCATGGCCTCTGATATGGGGACTTCTGCCACAGGCCAGCCCCCCGGCCAGAGCAAGTAGCACGAGCAGGCAGCCAGCACCTACACTGTGCCCTGGCTATGGGTCAGCATGGCCCTGAAGCTGCAGCCAGGCAAAGATCCTGTTCAAAGCCTCAGTCACTCTTCTCCTTGCGCTTAGTGTGAGTTCTAGAAATGATTGTCCCAGCCACAGTCTTCAACTCCATGCGGTCAGCTGTCCCATCAGCAGCTAGCAGCTGCGGCAAGACCACGGGAGGCCAGCAGGCTATGGCTCTCATGGCCAAACCATTGGAGAATGGTTTCCTCTTGAGGTAGGGATGCAGTTAGGCCCAGTCTTGGCTAACACTCAACATCTTGTAGTTCAATCTCCTCAGTTGTGCTTTCTGCAAAGCAAAGGACAAGTCACTGAGTTGGAAACCAGCCGCACAGTGCTTTCTTTATGAGAAGGTAACTCATGTCACCCCAGCCTCAAAACCATGCATGGATTATCCCAGGGCCTAGGGAGTTACCTTTGAGTTTGTGTCTTCTCTTCCTCTGGAATTTATACGCACACTTATTACAAATCCACATGAGGCTGATTAATACCGCGGCCACAGCAGCAAGAAAAGCAAGGAAGACAGCCACAAAGTGCAGGTCTTCATAGAGGATCTCTATAGGGTGGGGGAGGAAAGATGAGAAAACATCCCTTTTAATATTGCACAGCTGGCCTCCTACACACTCCAAGTCCAGAGAGGTGCCCAGCCCAGGGCCGTCTTACCAGAGACGTGCAGCACAATGGTGCCAAACTGGCTGCTCCCTAGGCGCTCAGTCACAGTGATGACATAGTACCCGGAATCCCTCACACCCACGCTGAAGAGCTGGAGGGAGCCATTGTCGAAGGTGCAGACTCTGCCCTGGTGGCTTTGGGAGATGTTGGCCTGAGTCCCTGGCTGCCACACCACGATCTTCTGTGCATCCCAGTTGGACGTATATGTCCATTCAATGGTGGGCACTCCGTGACAGGAATATTCAACCGAAAGCAAGATGTCTTGTTCCACAGTGGCATTGATGGTGGACTGGGGAATGTACAGGGACACTCCCTGACCTGCAGGATGAGATAACATGTTAGATGTTAGATAACATGGGCACACTCACATGAATTTATATTGAAGTGAGTTTATGGGAACAATTCATGAATTTGTTTCACAGATTTTTACTGAGTACCTATTACGTGCCAGGCACTGTTCTAGGTTCTAGTGCCAAAGCTATAGTAGTGAACAGGAAACAGGGCTCCCTGGCTCACGTTCTATAAAGGAGGCATACAGAGGATAAAGAAGCCCACAAGGTGAGTTTAGATAGTGAAAAACACTTAAAAGATAATAGACAGGATACTAGCGACTGGGGTTGGGGTGGAGGTGCACACAACATCAGATTGGATGGCCAGGGGAGACCTTACAGAGGAAAGGACACTGGAGATGAAACCCAGAGCTCACGGAGGAGGAGGAGAGGGAAGAAACAGAGAAGAAGGAACGGGAGGAGAAGGCCTCCAACCGCCCTTCAGGCTCTGGGAACAATAAATGCAAAACCCACTTGGTGAGAATGAGCAAGAGGTGTTTGAGGACGGCAAGGTGTGAAGGCAGCCAGCAGGCTGGGATGCAGTGAGCCATGCGGAGGGTTAACGGAGGAAGCTGGAGAGCTGGCTGGAAGCCAAGTCATGATGGCAGGTCATCTGGGGGATGGGAAGCCATAGGAGGGCTCAGGCAAGAGCATGATATTCCCCATTAAGCTGAGAACATCTGTTGTGGGGAGTATACTGGACAGTAAGGGGGTGCTATGGTTTGAATTAGGATAATGCCATCATCACAGGAGTGGGTTGTTGTAAAAGGATGAGTCCAGCCCCCTTCCCTCTCCTGAGCTCATGCTATCTTGCTCTTCTGCCTTCTGCTATGGCAGGTGGCAGCAGGAAGGCCCTCCCCAGATAAGTCTCCTCCATCCTGGATTTCTCAGTCTCCAGAACCTCTCTATCAAAAAAAAAAAAAAAGAACCAGGCATGGGTGATGTGTACCTGTAATCCCAGCTACTTGAAGGCTAAGGCAAGAGGATTGCTTGAGCTCAGGAGTTTGAGGTTGCTGTGAGCTGCAACATCACTGCACTCTACTCTAGCTTTCAAGCTCTCAGACAACAGAGCAAGACCCTGTCTCAAAAAAAAAAAAAAAAATGGCCAGGTATGATGGCTCACACCTATAATCCTAAAACACTGGGAGGCCAAGGTAGGTGGATTACCTATGCTCAGGAGTTTGAGACCAGTCTGAGCAAGAGTGAGACCCCATCTCTACTAAAAATAGAAAAAATTAGCTGGGTGTTGTGGTGGGCACCTGTAATCCCTGCTATGTGGGAGGCTGAGGCAAGAGGGTTACTTGAGCCCAGGAGTTTGAGGTTGCTGTGAGCTGTGGCACCAGAGCATGCCAGCCTGGGGCAACAGAGTGAGACTCTGCATCAAAGAAAAAAAAAAGTCAATGCAGGAGGTAGATAAGAGACCACCTTGGAGATCAGTGAAAAGCAGTCTGATTTGGGATATACATTCAGAAGTAGGACAGAAAAAGCTGATCAATTGGATGGGGCAGGTGGAGCAGAGGGGCATCAGAGATTTCTTGATGAGCATGTGTTTGAGCAGGTGAACAGTGGTGCCATTGGCTGAGACTGTTTACAGACGTTGTCACACATGTACTGAGTGGGTCCCACATGTCACCCCTGTGCTATCTGCTCTACATTCATCATTTCAGGAAAGCCTCAGACTCCTTAGGGCTAAATAGCTTGTCCAAGTTCCCTCTGCAGGTCTGAGACTCCTACAAGGCCTGCTGACTCATTTAACCTCTGTACTCAAAGTCAGTGGTAGGCAATGGAGGACACAAGATGGGACAAATTCCTCCCACATGGAGTGAAGTGGCCAGGGCTGGCAGGAGGCTGGAGGCAGACTAGGGCAGGGTTTGAGCTTGGAGCCCGTCCCTTGGTTCCCAGCTCCATTGCCTGTCTGGCCCCTTCACTCTGGCTGTCCAGTTCTCCACCAGTCCCTGCTGGGGCTCTTGGTGGCAACATCTGTCACTTTTTCAGGACTTTCTCACTGTCTACTCCCTTCCATCCATGTCTCTCTCCTAAGGTGACTGGAGATAATTCAGTAAATTTCATACTAAAAAAATTGGGGATCAGTAGTGTTTAAGAGTTATAGCTGCTGGCTCAGCGCCTTGTGCACAGTGGTTACGGCGCCAGCCACATGCACCAAGGCTGGCAGGTTTGAACCCAGCCTGGGACTGCTAAACAACAATGACAACCACAACAACAACAACAAAAAAAATAGCTAGGTGTTGTGGCGAGCATTGGTGGTCCCAGCTATTTGGGAGGCTGAAGCAAGAGAATCGTTTAAGACCGAGAGTTTGAGGTTGCTGTGAGCTGTGATGCCACAGTACTCTACCGAGGGCGACATAGTGAGACTCTGTCTCAAAAAAACAAAAAAAGAGTTATGGCTGCTAAGTAACAAATGCTTTTTTTCTCTCCAAACTTTGTATTTTTAATTATTACTTTTTTCTTTTTAGAATAATTAGTCCTGATTACCAGAAGGAAAGCTGTATTTTATTTTTTTTTTGTAGAGACAGAGTCTCACTTTATCACCCTTGGTAGAGTGCTGTGGTGTCACACAGCTCACAGCAACCTCCAACTTCTGGGCTTTGGCGATTCTCTTGCCTCAGCCTCCCAAGTAGCTGGGACTACAGGCACCTGCCACAACGCCCGGCTATTTTTTTTTTGCTGCAGTTTGGTCAGGGCCAGGTTTGAACTCGCCACCCTTGGTATATGGGGCTGGCGTCCTACCCACTGAGCCACAGGCGCCGCCCAAAACTATTTTTTTAAATGTTAAAAGTTGGTCTAGTCATAGTGGCTCATTCCTATCATCCTAGCACTCTGGGAAGCTGAGGTGGGTGGATTGCTTGAGCTCAGGCCTGAGCAAGAGCAAGACCCTGTGTCTACTAGAAATCAAAAAACTAGTCAGATGTTGTGGTGGGAACCTATAGTCCCAGCTACTGGAAAGGCTGAGGGAAGAGAAGCATCTGGCCCAAGAGATTGAGGTTGCTTGAGCTTTGATGATGCCATGGCACTCAACCCAGGGCAACAGAGTGAGACTCTGTCTTACGCACAAAAAAAATAAATAAAAATGTGAAAAGTTGAAAGTCATGTATGATTAACATCTATATAGCCTCTCCTAGATTCACCAGTTGTTAACATTTTACCACATTTACTTTCTCTCTCTATATATATTTTTAACTACAAATATTTTAGAAATTTTGTTGAACCATTTGAACTTAAGTTGCAGACATCTTGACACTTCACCTAAGAACAAGCCATTCTTGTATATAACCACGTTGTAATATACCCAAGAAATTGAACATTGTTATAATATTTCTTTTTTTTTTTTTTTTGAGATAGAGCCTCAAGCTATCCCCCTGGGTAGAGTGCCCTGGCATCACAGCTCACAGCAACCTCCAACTCCTGGGCTCAAGCCAGTCTCCTGCCTCCGTCTCCCAAGTAGCTGGGACCACAGGCCCCGCCACAACACCTGGCCATTGTTTTTTTTTTGGCTGCAGCCGTCATTATTGTTTGGCGGGCTGGGCTGGATTTGAACCCGCCACCTTAGGTGTATGTGGCTGGCACCCTAGCCGCTTGAGCCACAGGCGCCAAGCCATAATATTTCTGATATATAGTATATTCAAATTCTCCTAATTGTCCACAAAAATGACTTTTCTGACTGCTTTTCTGTTTTAATGAAGAATCCAATCAAGGATTGCTCACTGAATCTGGTTATCATGTCTTTGAATTATTTTTGGAGACAGAGTCTCACTCTGCTGTCCCAGGCTAGAGTACCATGGTGTCATAGCACACAGCAACCTCAAACTCCTGGGTTCAAGCGATCTTCCTGTTCCAGCTCCTGGGCAGCTGGGACTGCAGGCGCCTGCCACTACACCTGGCTGATCTTTTCTATTTTTTAGTAGAGGTGGTATCCCACTCTTGCTCAGGCTGGTCTATGAACTCCTGAGCTCAAGAGATCCTCCCACCCTGCCTTCCCAAAACTAGGATTATTTCAAGCATGAGCCACTATGCCTGGCCACCCCTTTCAATTTAGTAAAATTTTCCAAACTTTGTGTATGTGTGTGTGGCTTTGAGGATATTAAAATTTTATGGAGTCCTGGTCTGTTGTCTTATAGCATGCCGCAGTCTGAATTGTTTAGAATAAGGGTAAAAATACTGCAAAGGTAATGTTTTCTTGTTGCATCACCCCAGGAGGCAAATAATGCGGGTTTGTCCCATTGTTGGGAAACCTAAGTTTAATCACTTGGGTGACATTAACACATGTATCTGACAAGTCTCTTTTAGGAAGAGTACCTTTTCCCATGTCAGTGGTAACTCATCTGCGAGATGATACTTCGAGACCATGTGACCACCTTGCCACCCAGCAACTGTGAACACACAGCCCTTCACTTCCACTGATGAGCCTCTCCTACACTAAATTGAAAATAACAGTTTTCCAATCTGATCCTTCCTCCTAGATTTGTTGGCTGGCCTTCTTCTGTATAGAAGAACTCTTTCTCTGTGCTTCTTCCACTCTTTTCTTCCCAATGTCTCTATAGACCCTTTTTTTAGTATGTCAAACTTCATTATAATCATCATGATTTTTCCTGCTGGGTTGTCTGTATTTGGCCAGTGGGAGCCTGGCCAGGCCATTTGTGAGTTCTTTGAATGCTCTTTGCTGTTTTTTGAGCCTTTCCTTGAATTGATTGCATTTTAACAAGGGCCCTCACGTTTTAGAGCCAAAGATTGGGAAATTGGGGATTGGGGGAGATTGGTGAGATCATTTTGAACAGGTGGTCCTTTTGCATTCCAGGTTCATAATACATGCGGTGGCCACTAGTTCTGTTAACAGGCCACCTCTGGGGATAGAAGCCCAGGACAGAGTCTTGGTATCACATTATCCGCACATAAGAGCTTCATTTAAACAATCACATTCTGTCCAAGGTGGAAGGCACATAACTGGCCAACTTTCCTCTCAGTGTGGGAATT